TAATTCATTGTCTTTCTAGAACACGGGAAACTAAGGAAGGTGCATTTTCCAATTGCTGTTATCTAAAGATTTATTTAGAAGCACCTGCTAAGTCCTGCAGGAAATGAGGGGTTGCCTTGAAGGTAGCTATCACCACTTCTCGTCCTCAACCTATGTGCATTATTTTTATCTTGAGAAAATGACAGCGTTCTGTAAATGCAATTTTCTGAAGAAAGATGTAGCTGTAGACAAAGCCTGTTTACTGGGATACTGCAGACCCACACAAAGGCAAAGGCTGCATGCGCCATGTTTTAGCAACAGGACTAAAGTTAGGTAGATACATAAAATAAGTCTTAACCACTACTTATTATCTGCACTTATATCTTCACCCAACAATGTTATTTCAGCTTGACTTGATTAAAAGTATTTGACTGGCAGTTAAGGCAGAAAACCATCTGATACTACAGGCATTAGCACACAAAGAGCAATCTGAGAAATCTACTAAAAATTTAATAGCATCATGTTGCAGATGATCTTTACTGATGACAAACTACTGACATTTACATGGCAAGAAAATACACACATACAAAACACTTCAGCTAGTTTCTGCCTTTCTCAGAATGGGGATACCCTATTTTTCATTGTAATAAACTATGGACATTTTATTACCTCTCACTAGCCTTAGAATTCCATTAAAAAATACCAGTAACGCATAACTTGAAATTCAGAAGAAAAACCTTCAAATATATATTGAACTGTTCAGCAGCACTGAGGTCACAACTCCAAGCACCTCTAATGGCTACTCCCTTTCCTCCCCATGCACACTGGAAGAGCTCACGGCACATCTAAACAGCAACAAAGACCAAGCTGTTCCCTCCAGGCTCAAAGCAAGAGGAAGGCATTAAGGCTGGAGTCTCCAGCTTCAACCATAAATTTGCCTTCAAGATACCCTTACATTTTTGTCACCAGTTTGAGTTACAAAAACATGTAGTTTGTTATCTTCCCAACTGTACATGGGCTATTTTTTCTCAGCTGTTCACACTGAATTCAGTAGCATTCTAGCATATATTTTAATTTTATTATAAATGCATTCATTTCATGAAACTGATTTGATAGAATATGTAAAGAAAAAGTTTATTATAGTCCAATATCACAGTCCTTTAAACATAAGGTATCACTGGTGACTATATGTACTGTTCATTAATATTTCAGACTGTGATTCACAGAGACTAATGTTTAATTCAGTCTCCTTCTCCTCCCATCTCCTTTTCACGAAATTCCATAATCTAAGCATGGCAGCAATCTTAGTACACATACCCAGAGCCTTACCTGCTCCATTCCCACCAGCATTTCAAGCAGTGCCTCAGACTAGAGAAGGCATCATCAGCCTAGCAAATTGTTCAACTGTTTGTCCCTTTGTCTGCTTTCCCCGCAGAGCGCACACGGGCTGCAAGAAGGAAAAGCTCAGCTGACCTTTGAAACCAAAACACTAATCCAAGCTCTCTATCACATGTGGCTCTGAATCCTGTTAAGCTTTTGGTTTATTCCCAGTGGTACCATTTAAGTAGCTCAGTATGAACTTAAATTTTCACTCCCCAACAGCCAGCATGAGCAAGTGCAGCCATTGTGTGTATTAAATTTATTCAAAGCACTGGCACAGAGATGTATGCAGTGTTCCTTTTAATGGAAACAGGAGGGTGGCTCTAATTAGGTCAGCCAGGTTGAGGATTTTAGCAGCTCTTAGTTTAAATATAAAATTAAGTACAAACCAGATCTTGCTAAAATACAGTGAGATGCATGACCAGAGAAATAGTTTCTTGGGAAAAAGAAATTAAACATATTTCTTCTAAAACAAATTGATTCCTGCAATGGATACTTAGGGCAGTTCATCTGACAGTATCAAGGTTTCCATTTTTAATACATCTTTGACATATGCATGACAGTAGCAAAATGACTTGGAAGTTGACACAAAGCATTAAAAACTTACCCTTTACTTCTCTCCACAGACTGCTCCAGATTTATCTATATTTTAAAGCCAAACCAAAAATCCATGTTGTTGTACACCTGGCGTTATTTGCTTGAGTTTCCCTAGTCGTCTGTCAATGAGGATGCTCTTGACAGACTCATAAATAAGTTTTTAAATGACACTCAGTCCTAACTTTCAGTTAAGTTAGAAAACTTTATGAATGCAGTAAAAAAAAAAAAAAACAAGCTATGTAGCTATCATAAAAGCATAGTCTTGTGAAACCTCCAGTGGTTTTGCTTCACTAGGTACACATTCACCCTTTAACAAGCTCCTGCTAACTTTAAGCTGGACATGTGAAACAACACAGGTGAGGTTCAGTTACAGGAAAACAAGAGACATACCGTAACTTATTGTCCCCATTTACAGGTTTTGAGTTTTGTGGAACCTTATGTTAACATTCATTTGCCCTAACTCTCTTGAAATAAAAGATTCATTCACATTTCCAAAACCACATTAAACTACTCATGTTTTTCCTTTTTTAGCATGAAGGCTTTTCTGACTGACACTGTTTATGAATAGTGATTTTACCTTAAAAATCCCCATATAAGTATAACAGCACAGCAAACGTGCAGCTCTCAGGAAGTATGCATAAAAAATAGAAGTACAACAGTTGTAGCATGTCACTACTTCCAATTCTAAAGTTGTGAACAAGAGTTGCCCGCCAGCACCCCATGGCTCTTTGCCCTGCTGCTCACTAGGTGGGAGCTCCATTGGACCATCTGTTCATTTTGCATCCACTGTGGGTGCACAGGATGTGTAACATCAGGATTTCTAGTAAGACCATATTCTCATCTAATGAGTCAAACTAATGCACATCTCTTCTACAGATCTTTTATCCCATTTACATCTATCAAATCAGAAAACATTTTTTTTTTCCACAAGGAGCAATAACTCTAGTATTAAATTCTTCCAGCAACTTCCTTACTAAAATACACATCTCAACACTTCAGGCAAACTGCTCAATTGAAAACTAAGCATTTCTCAGTTCAAACACCTGAACTTAATCCTCATCCTCTGTCCCCAGAAGTTCAAGTGATCCAGCAAATTCACTAAAGTGACACGAACCAACAAGACCTTGCAACTTCTTTCCTTGGACTTGATAAGCATTGTTATTTCATTTCCTAGGCAGTATCAATTCTGTTAGCTTATCTTGTCAGTATAAATGGCAATATATTCAACATGCTCAGTAAGCTTCGTGTGCTGTCTCTGCAGCACCCATACGCAGGACACGAGCAGATACATTAACAAGAACACACTTCCACCTTTCACTTACTACAAAAACAAACTGGAACTGGAGATATTCACAGGAAATGGGAGGCTAAGGGGATTGCAAATTACATGTATTGTACAGCTCAGCTAAATTTCTGCAAGATTACAGAAAGCATAGTCTTTGAGGCAACACTGACATTGGGCTATGTTATGAAGATTTAAGATTAGAACAAAAGAACTTTCAGTCAATTCTTCTGTGTAGTTTAATTTTGCTTTTTAACACTAGTTTGTGAAGAAAATACACAAATGTCTTTTACTTAAAATTTTTTATTGCGCAAAATCACTCCTAGGCAGTTACACAGGTTGTTTCCACCTTGCCCAGCTTCAAGTCTGTACAATGAATGCATGCACAGTGGGTGTCCTCCCACACAAGTGTTACTGCCCTTCCTGTAGCATTGTTCAGTTGCAGCAGCTGGCTACAAAGGCCTTCTGAGAATTTAAGAGTCCAGTGAGCACAGTGATCATAAGAGACATTTCTCTTAAGACACTCGTTTTAGCCACAGTATGCAAATATTTAGGTAAATGTAGTCAATTTGAGTTTAACCTGAATATCCTCTTCTGAAGACCAACAGCTGCAATATCTAGCCCCAGGATTTAAATTAGCATGTTCTGAATATAGAGGCCATTAATATCATCAAAACTGTGCAGTCCAATTTGCAGTCCAATTTTTTGGCAGCATTACTGCCATTGGTATTGAAGCAACCATGAACAGCAAAATTAAACAAAAAACTGTATACACAAGAGACAAAACAACCCACAAACATCTTTAATGAAATCAAGTTTCATTTGTCTGTCTTATTCACCAGCATTTACTCACCTTTTCTGAGCTTTAGCTGCTTTATTCGAAAACTAGGCAGCTTCAGCATATAAAAAAAGGTGAAACAGTGAGTATCTTTTGGAGTTCACGAGTGCAACGTTGGTTGTGGAATTCTGAAACACAGTCACCTATAGGCTTCTCAGTAACAGTATAACCAAGCATAGTTTTTCTAAAAAATATATTATACCTTTACTACTAATTTCCAGCAGTCCCTTGAAGCCTTCTGTAGTACATGAAGTTATTAGCAATTCAGGGTATTTTTCTTAATATCAAGAAGAGATTAAATTTTGGTTGTATTTCCTGCAATGGAAAAACATTACTAAGTTGGTTTTTTTTTCCACTGTTGCACCCCAGGGAGTAATTGTCTGATGGGGTAAAGAAGGCACTCCACCCCACATACCAGGCAAAGCAGACCTTGGAAAATACTGTGACATGATGGCCTGGCTGAGGTCTACACACCCCCACACACTCACCTACATTGTTTCCTTTGGTGTACCTGCATGGCACTGGCATCTTACCTTCACACTTAGAGCATGAGAAGGTCCTTCCAAGTACCAGCTGAAGAACCAGTGCTCAAACCCCTGGCCAAGCCACTTTTCACCCCTACAAACCATGCCGATTCTTTGTAATCCATTTTCCTCCTCTTCCTCCCTAACAAACACACTTTCTGCTGTCTGACCTGACATACCACCTGCCCAGGTCAGGTTCTAAAAAACTTGGCTGAAAATCACAACAGCAAACCACACACTAAGTGCCCCACTGATGCAGTCTTCCAGCACCTGCTGAGAGACACAGAAGATGCTATTCTCCTTCCTTCCCCAAATGCTGCAGAACATGCAAGACTGTCACACCTTCTTTGGTTAACTTGACGAGGTAAAAGGACATCGTTATGCCAGGATCTAAGCTTACCTTCTTTAAGAGAAGTTTTAGGAGGAATGTTTTCCTTGCTATTGTGTTGGAAAGCTTTGGAATGATCAAAACGGCGCACGCCCTGGATTTCATATAGTTTCTCCTGAAGGTCTCTGTTGGTTTGCTTTTCTTTTGCTAGCAAAGCACGCAGTTTTGAGACATCCTAGAGAAAACATGATATTTGCAAGTTAAAGAACAAGAGAAAAGCTTGCTTTTCATTTACTGAAGTAGCCCTTTTGACTTATGCTGAACACAAACATACATACACAATTATTGCTGGTGCCTAAAAACAAACCAAAACAAAAAATCCTAGTAAAGAGAAACCATCACCACTGTATAATTGCTGTATAACATCACTAAGCAGTATGACAGCCCGAAACTTTCAGGTGCTGCTTTCAGCAGATAATTTATTAAGTCTAGAACCTCCAAAAGAGCTATGAAAAACTATGCAAGCTAAGAGTAGGGACAGTTATCTGCACTGGTAATCCCCCCTATATCATATATTCAGTTGAAAGGAAAATTGATTCTCTTGGTGTTTGCTGGAGGCCAGTAGTTTGCTCTTGCAGGGAATTTAAAAACCATAGAAAGAAGAGAGAATTAGTCTATAAATATTTAGAGCAACAAACAGAGGAATCAAGAAAATAGGTTAGTGATTTCTAACTTTTCATTTCACAAACCTGTTTCAGGTGATTATTCTCTTCCTTCAACTTGATAACATGCTTGATTTTTTGCTTTTGGTTCTGATGTCCAAGTAGTTTAGCATAGGCATCACTTAATTTATTCAGTTCTTCTTGGGCTGCGCTGTGCTCGCTTAAGAGGACATTCTTCTCTGCTTCGTACGCATCTAGCTGTTGCTGAAATACATAGAGTCTTATTTTAGAAATCTTTATGTTAAAGCTTTTTAGTTAACTGAAATCTATGAAGAATGGTTGGTTTGGGAAGGGGAATAGCTGGCTCAAGGGATAGTAACTTAGGAAACCATTGCATGGTTAGAATGGGATTCCTTTACAATGGGAAATGCCATGTTTAGTTCTTAACAGTAGAACTTGAGTCTACAGCACAAGTCTTAAATCACCAGATAATAAACCCCTACTTCAGAACACACCTGAAAAGGCTTAGTTTTATTATGTAAATCTTCATATAGGTTACGCCAAGTATTTCTCTCTTCTTTCAAGGTAGAGATCACATCTTCATTGGTGGTTTTCCTAAAAAGCAAAGTTCCATTAGGGTCATTGTTAGCTGTCAGCACTTTGGCACACCAAAACTTTCATGTGCCATATGATACACAGGTTGGCTTTGAGAGAAGTCACCTCAATCCTTGCACTTCGAGTTTTCGTTTCAGATCTTCAGTTTGCTCTTCCAGGTTTTCCTGAAGTTCAGTCATTTGTGCAAGGCAAGGCTCTTCTGTTCTTTCTGTTTCTGCTTCTTTTAATGTGAGCTCTGCCTGGACTTCCAAAAGCATCCTGAGGAAAACATGACCCATCCTTAGTCAATTTTTTTTTTTTTTTTCCTTTTTACACTACTCTCAGTCTGAAAACACAAATAACCAAGAACTGAAAGAAACGTTTGCACAAGCAGTGCAACAAGAACAACGATCCAGAAAGCAATCCAGTTCAAGATACACATTATTTTTAATTTCTCCTCTGAGAAGCAAGCAGTGCTTTTGAAGCAAGGGAAGATCACGTTTCTTATTTATGGCTGTTTAATGCCAGCGGCTTTTAGTGGAAGATGTGTTAGCAGTTAGACTGCACACACAGATGTTTGCACTGTCCAGTGCGGATGTACTCAAGGGTTCAGAAACTCTAAACCTCCCAGCACTGCTTTCCCTGTCCAAGCTAAGCCATTTGTTACATCACCCAGGTGGAAACTACAAATCCCTTCCCTGCTACACTCAAACAGCAAATCAAGTGGAAAATAACTCTTCAGTTTTTCTTTTAACCAGGTCTAATGGAAACTGGGGGTAATATTGAGCATATGGGGAGGAAAGAAAGGGCAGTATCTTAAGCAATAGAGGTGTTTTAAAATTAACTGATGTAAATAATAATTGTCCTTAGGACAATCTTATTCTTTTGGCTGCGGGTCAGCTAGACAGCAAAAGCATCTCAAAACTTTACAGAGCCATTTTATATGGCAGCAGAGAGAGATTTGGAAAGAGAAATGCTCTAATCAGTTTGGCCAAAACAGTGTTATAATGCAGTTCAGTAAGTAACTTTTCCACATGCAACAGTTTAAAAGATTAGAGCATAGCTGGTGCTTTATGTCCAATGTCAGCTTCAGAAGCTAGCTAAGAGCTACATGAAAAGTAGTGGGGAAGGACAACTTCCAGCAAACACACAGCATGTTCAATAGTGCAGCTCACAAAGGCAGTTACCACAGGTGCCTACTACAGGTAACTGCACACAGGAACCTTTTAAGATCCAACTCATCTTCTTCCTTAAATTGTCCCTTTGTGTGGTAAGCTGGAAGAACATACACCTCTAAGCTGCTGCTAGAGATAAACATATCCCAGGATATGACAGCTTCTTAGGTGTTGCTCATGAGCTGCACTGCTGCAGAGAGAGGACCTTTGTTTACCTCAGCCCAGTGTGCCAACTCACAGATGGTTAACTGGCAGCTACTTGTGATCAGGATTTCAGGTGGCACATTATTCAGAGTACAGTACAAAAGGGCAAGGTCTGCAGTAACTATTTGTTAGTCTGCCCCTATGGATCTTAGTTGTGGAGTAGTCACTCTGAAGTGTTATTTATGATAAACAAGATATTCCCATGTGTTCAGTTAAGTGTTTTCCTTTTCCATTATGTTCAACATAACGTCAAAGCACTTGATTGAACGTACCCGTTCTCTGATGCATAGAACATTAACAAATTTTGTCTGTCAAGTTTTTCAACACTCTACACTGGAAAAGGGAAGAAATTTAGGATTACATCCACTACTGATTTTTTTTTCTGGTGGAGCACCACGTTAAGTTCTCATTAAGGCAGCAAGCCTTTGCTTGCACTCTTTAGCTGAAGGAAGTGCTTGTCTAGTACCTCACACATTCTTCCTCCACTTTGTTTTCAGTGTATTCCGCTTCCAAAGCCAGCTGTAGGTTATCTTGGCCTTTTTTTTTTAGGTTGGCAACTTCTTCTTGCAGTGACGCATTCTCCAGTTTAAGACTGCATATTTCTTCAGCTGTTTTCTTCTTGTAGCTGGTATTACAAGGTAAATTTTTTTTTCACTTTAGGCAAAATACTGATTGACACTTTCAAGGCTTAGAAGAGCAATACGAGCTCATGTAATATGTCTTACACATGTTTTCAACTCCAAGATACAACAGTACTCCAACACTGATAATTCTGAAATTACCCCCCTCTTTCCCCCCCCCCCATTTCCATAAAGCCATAAGCACCAACTCTGACAAATTCTGCAATATAGGTATTTTTACATATAGGTAGATACTTTAAAACACAGAAAACCTGCTATATCTGAGGCTTATTTTAAACACTAGAAGTCCTACTATCTGCATTTTGCATCAGCAAATAATCCCACTGGATCCTTCATGGGTGCCTTGCATACTTAGTAATAACAGCCTCTTTTTAAATGCTTCCACAACCAGATTATTTTGAGGGGAAAGATCTGGAAGGCCTGTGAGAAAAACTTGATTCAGTGCAAGTTGTGAGCCTAAAAAAAAAAAGCAGCCTTTCTGCAATAGATTTTAATACCACCATCATTAGTTACAACTCTCACCCCAATCTTAGCACACTTGAGCATTGTAATTAGTTACACTTCAAATAAGAAACATCCAGTGTCCTAAACTAAATACTGAGTATGTCATTACACTTGACTATATATAAGGAATATATTCATTTCTCAATGCCATCAAGTAGCCCATCACAAAATCCTCTGCTCTAATACTGTAACAATGCCCATGTACACTGTTAAATACCAGGGCACATGAATAAACAGCACATTTCATTGTCATCTTACAGATAATCCTTGCCCTGTATCATAATGAAACTTCCATACCTTTCAAACTCAGCAACAGTCTTTCCAAGTTTACACAATGTATCACTGTGCTCTTCTTGGATTTGAGAAACAGTATTGCTGTGCTTTTCATTGATTTGCTCTAGCTCAGCATTCTTCCTGAAAAAAAAAAAAAAAATAAAAATTGAGCATTCCACACTGAAAACAAACATGTCCAGACACATGACCAAACACTTATCAGATACAGAAAGCTTGCAGGGGCAGGAATCAGCTCATTTGACATACCAGTAACTTTTCTACCACAACTTCAAATATTAAAGAAGTAGCTTCATAGTTGACTGAACTGCTTCCCCTTATATTCCAAAATACCTACATAAGAGATTGAACATCTAATAGTCAACTTTCAATACATGAAAGGAATAAACAACTTGCTTGAAAAATCTTTCCTAATTATTGTCTCCAGGGCAGAAACACCTGATAGAGCATGCATGTAACTTACCCTTCACAGCAATGAAATATTACTACAGAACTGGCATTTGAAGCAAGTCTCAGCATACTAATTAAGTCGTTTTAAATTAAGACAATACACAACTGATTCAAGGTACTGTTGATAGCAATTAGGTCCAATCACTATCAATGAACAACAACCAGCAAGAATAAATTTAGAACTATTCAGGTCTCTAAAACCCAAATTAGGCTCAGCAGCTTTCTTTATACTACCAACTGATTTAACACTTTTCCTTTCAAAGCTTTAGAACCATTAAGTTTGTTTCACAAACCCTTTCAACTTTTCTTCTATCTGTGCAAGTTCAAGAGCTTGAGATTTGATTTCTTGTTCCAACTGCTTCACCAGCTTCTCAGCTTTCTTCTCCTTAGCATGTAACTTATTCAGCTCGTTCATTGTAGCATTCAGCTCTTCTTCAAGAAGATGTCTCTCACTTGTTACCTCATCTTGAAACTCCTGGAACTTCTGGTGCATTGTTGCAGATGATGCCTGCATGTCAGAGTACCATAGATTTCAAAACCACTAGTACTTTTCTAGATCTTAAAGGCTAATTTGCAGCACTCAAACTTCAAAGCACAAGAATAAGATCATTCTGCAGGCACAGCCAAAATGCCCATCCTACCAGCTCTGATTCTTGGAGCTATCCTATGACACACAATTTCTGCTGGCCAGCACACGTGTGTTCCACAGATTAGACCATCAATACAGCAATCTCATGGGTAACCAAAAGTAGTCCCTATTTACCTTTTCTTGTTGCAGCTGAGAAACCATCTCTTCATGTTGCTGAAGCAGTTTTTGGTTTTCTTGTTCTGCTAAGCCAAGTTTTTTTTTCAGATCTTCTGTTTCAGTATTCATGCTCAGTAATTTTCCTCTGGTCTCAGATAACTCTTTCTCTGCATAGAGGAATTGTCAATTTAACACCAGTTCCCTCTATCCTCCATTAACTACATCTATTTTTCACAGTACTTCCATTCTACCTTTAATGATAGTTTGGCAAGGGAAAAAAAAAACAACAAAAACCTCCAAGACAAAAAAAACCCCCACCAAACAAAACCCACATCTTTAATGCATCTGGAAACTCCTCAAGATTGTCTGAAAGCATGACACTTCAAAAATTATTTCAAGAGCAGGAATCTTTGGATTGAGCAATTAGCTTTCATCAGCAGACCAGAATGGTTTGGGAAAAACTAAACCATTCCTCCAAATCATCTTCCACATACTAGCACACAGAGACCAACTGCTACACAGAAAACCGAGTACCAGTCTTAGGCTGCAGAGTTGCTGGTTTTGCAGGAGAAAGGGGAAAGAAATGAATGATTCCTGCACACATTCCCAATACCTCATGCTGTGTCACAAAGAAGTGTAAGCAATAAGTCATTTGTGTTCACCTTCCATATTAAAGCTATTTCTATTAAGTAAACAATCCTCATGCTATACTATCTGCCTTAGCAACCCTCCATGGAAATACAAACAGACTTCAGAGATTCAAGGGAGTTTCCATTTAGTTAAAAATATGCCCAGTTGTTTTCATCTGGAGCTCAGAGACATGACTTAACTCAGAAGAAACTATTCTGAATAGACATTTTAGATCAAACCTACTTGAAATCCTTTCAGATATGTCCATGGTCCCACCCATTCAGGCAGCACTCAAGCAGTAACAATTACCTTTTTCCTCTTGAAGCAACTGACACCTTTCATTAAGTTCTTTTATCAGTTTATATGATTGTTCCTCTTTTTTTGAGAGGGTATCTCTCAGGATCTCAGTATCTTGGTCTTTCTGTATCAGCATCTCCTCCATCTGGGCAACTTGTTGTTTGTATTTCTCAAGAGTTTCTGCAACACTACTGTAGGAGAAAAATTCATGTATTTTTTGACACTAACTTCTTTTCTTAAGCTTACACTCCACCAAAAAGATAAAACACATAGGAATGTTTGCTTCCAACTGGAAAACTGCCTACATCTACTTTGCCAGACATGTTTCTGCACATAAAACAGGTTAAAATTAAAAGCCATTTCTTTCAACACTGATGTTTTTTAACAGAAACTTGTGCAGTCACACAAAATATAAAGGTTTTTCAAAAGCTGAGTTTTCACAGAAAAGCATACACATAAACTAACTAGATTTTACTATTTTAAGTAGAATTAGAAGAAATACAGCCAGTTAATGAGTAAATTGATGGTCGTGTGGACCATAAAAGCAACCAGTCAAATTTCAGAACAAGTTGTCATCATGTTCTGAGCTAGGGACAGTACTGTGAAAACCGATCAGCATTTCCATCAGTTACCAGACCAGTTACTAGACAGAAGATTAGTGATCAGTCAGACTGATGCTCATACACACATTGTCCAACAACTCCTAAATGCCAGTCGATGGATTGTGAACTTCACCAGCAGCCAATATACAGGGGTATTGCCCCATTCAGGCTGTTTGACAAACGGCCCTAAAGACATCACAGCCAGTACCTTAGAGGAAAACGATTAAGCGTGATTTACATACAAATAATTCAGGGTAAAAACATGATTTCAGGACCCTGATAGAGAAGTCTGATGGTATTGTTTAGCCCAGAAAAGCAGAGACATTTAGAAAGGTAATGAAAGTACCTTAGAACTCCTTTCCATCCTGTGGAAAAATCTCATTTCCTTTCCCCCTCTATTTTAATGCTAGCAAAGAAAATTGTTCCCAAGGTTCTACTTGACTAACCAGAGTACTCCCACTGACTTTTGCTGCCCTTACTAGCCAGTCCAGCTCAAGAACAACTTGTTCTTACCTGAGCTCTGTGATATATTCCAGGAGTTTTTCAGTGTCAGTCTTGTCTTCAGCTTTCTCTTTCTCAGTAGCAGACCTAAACCCAGAAATTTTTCAAGATAAATGTACTGAAATAAATTCAGAGCTATATGCTTACAAATAAGCAAGTAGAAATAAACCATTGAATCACAATCTAGTAGCACTACGTACTGGTCATAGTGAAGTTTGGCTGACAAACTGCTACTGGCTCCAAGAGGTGATTCTACCCTCCTGGGCAATATTTGTTCCATATGGTCCTTTCATTTATGATAAGGATGCTGAGCCATATTCTGCCACAAGCAAGTATGCTGGAACAGCTGCATTATTGTTTCCTTCCTTTGTGAATTGCACTACCTGTGTTGTTAACTTTATGTATTTTAACTCTAATTTAAGTACAAAACCTCTGCTCATATTTGAGCCCTTGGAAGTTAAGTCCTCATACAAAGCATAGGAAGGATACTGCAGTGCTAATCACATGAACTGACAGGAAGTATACCTTGTAGTTTATTTTTCTTAGGTTGGCATCCTCAGAAACAGCCTGCATGCTAGCATGCTGTTCCAGTGCAGCTAATGACATCATTTGGGCAGAATAAAAAGTGTTCATTTGGAACAACTTCTTACATGCAGCTTCTCAGGTCAAGACACTTTACAGTTGCCTTCCTTCAGAGCATGTGACTACTATGAAGTAACTTTTAAGGCAGCACAACGGGTCTTCAATACGCTCATCTGGAGAACACTGATGTGTCCATCACATCTGTCTCAAATGCCTGACTACTGGATCAGGATCTCAACTCCTGGCCCAATGTTTTTTATTCTTGCTTACTTTGAACATACCAGTGTGAATGGGCAGACACTGAGCATCTCATCGAAAATGTCTTGCTACAAGAGGAAGAATTCTTTCCTCAAGACACGTGTCTTTCTTCCCCACCCCACACATAAAATATCTCCACCCATACCACACTGGAAGACAAAAGGTTGAGATGATACAGTTTGTCTTTTGGCAAACTGTTAGATACATTAGACAAACAGTATTTTTTAGGTTCATTTTAGAAGAATAGAGCAGTTCCTAAAACTTCCTTCCATCAAATTTATTCCAGGTTACAAATACTTGTAATTTCTGTTACTTGCCATAAGAGGAACAGCCTGTATTTTCCCTAAACTACATGCTTACTATAAGGTCTAGGCATGTCAGCACAGCTAGACAATACTATGTTATCCAAGTCGGTCCCCTTCCTTACTACTTACAGTTTTTCTTCTAACTGTGCTACTTGTCCTTTTGAATGCTCTAGATGCCTTTGCACTTCCTGCAGCTTCATTTCCATGTCCTCCTGTTTTGCAAGTGCCGTCTTTAAAAAAAGAAATGAAAAGTATTTATTACAACCAACGTGGTATTTAGTGGGGAAAAGATTAATTGCCTAAGATAGTGGTAAATGGAAAATAATTTCTAAGTACAGTCTAACAATAGTGCTTGCTACTATGCTAAAAATGTGTCAGTATTCCTCCGTAAAGGTATTAGCCATTTGTTAAAACAACCACCACCACCCTAAGAAGGCAAACATCTGTTAGCTTCGAACTATTCTTAGGACCACTGGTTTTCAAAGAAATTAATCATCTGACCAGCATATTGACATTTTAAGAGGCATTTCTAGGCTTCCTGACTTCAACTCAGATTTACTCTGCACATAAATAGCAAAATCAAGGACATGTGCTGCTTGGTCTTTCTTGCTCTATTTTGACTCTACATAAAGTAGAGGAAATACCAAGTGGAGGACAAAAGCAACACACACCTTGCTGTTCTGTGGTAAGCCCTTAACTGTGTGTTCTCAGCCAGCTCAGAATTGTTATCCTGTGCAAACAGCCATACCTTTTCCTTGGTATCCCTCTTGTTTCTGAGCTTCATTAACTCCATGCACAGGCTGCTCATTTTCTTCTGCATGCCATCTTCTGACAGCTAATCAGAGATGAATACAAAAGCACTAAGCTCAACTCCTTCATAGGAATTAGTCTTCACACCACCATTTAAGTGACCCCCTCCCACCTAGAACACTGGTGTCTGCCTGACATTAGCAGGTCCCACCCTGCCTCTACACAGAAGCACACAAGGTCCCAAAGCAGACGTGCTCTAGTCCTGTAATAATGGAGGGGCACAAGGAACATGAAAACAGATGTTGATCAGCAACTCAAGTTTCCTCTTGCCCAGGGAGCTTAAGAACAGCAAGCACAAAGCAAGTATCTGTATCTGAATACCTTTGACTTAAGTAGTTCATTGGTTCTTCTTAGTTCCAGAAGCTGTTTTTTCAGGCATGCAACATTTGCCAAAAGAGATGTTTTCTCCTGAACTGCAGCACTCAGCTTTGCCTCAGTCTTAACGAATTCCTCATCCAGAGCCCGATACTTTTTATCCTGTTCTCCACGCTCTCTCACTAGAGCACGGATCTAAAACAGAAGAGGTACTATTCTTAAAGAACGTCTTTAGTTTATGCCTGTGGTTTTCTTGAAGACGTTAAATATCCAAACTGTATTAGCTTTCATTCAGAATGAGTATCTTCCACTCTATCATTCACAAGAAAAGACATCACACAATCATCACAATTCTCTATTGTTACACACCACAGGTTTGCAGTCCCAGCATTTCATCTGACCTATTTTATGCTACTGAGTTAGTACAAAAACTTAAAACAGTCTTAGTTTCAACTTGCAACAGAAGCCAACTTTCCTCTTCCAGTGGGGAACAGAAAGACAGAATGTGACTTTTGAGACAAGGCATAGATCAGAAGACACAAGTTTATTGCTAAGGAAAAGCTAGCTGCCTTTTAAACTTAAAAATGTCATTATTAACTATTTGCTGAAATTTTTGCTTAAGTTAAACAGAACCTTTTTAGGGTAGAGAACATATGACTTCTTTTGAAAAATAGACTGGCTGCCTAACAGATCATGATCAGTGGGAATTAATGTAATTCCATTAACAAATCCAATGCTTTCTACATACTCTAACATTTGATAATAGCTTTGCTTAGAGCTGTTGGCAAAGTACTAATACACAATGTTACACAAAAGCAGATAAATTTACCAGTTTGTGTTTTCTTACTGCAGCAAGTAGGACACATTACAGGACTGCACTCACATAATATATTCATACCTCCTTCTCCAGGGTCTTCTGTTTCTTTTTCTCTTTCATAAGGATAAGATCTCTCTTAGGCTTCAGAGTCACATTAGCTGGCTTTTGAAAACAGATGTATTAGAAATATTTCAACTGATCTGTAGCTGCATGCATAGTTAATCAGTGAAATATAAGCGTGGACACCTTCATATCGACAACGCTACTAAGTGCAGACAGAATAAAAAGCAAACATCTCTGTCCCACACAGGACAAAGTACCACCAGGTTAGGATGGGTTTTACCCCTGTACTTCCTCATAAGCATTACTCTGAACAGACAGCTCATAACCGTTGTGACAGAAAGGAGATAAAGCATCTGCCAAACTCCATAAAAAACAGTTTTATCTCTTAGCCACAGGTTTCTCAGCAGAATTTCTTTCTACATCGTAAGTAAACTAAATTAGTAAGTCTGCATTATCATTTGTCAACTTAAGCTATTCATCTTCAAATGCATATCCTCGCACAGTGAGCTGAGAACCTGTACGTACAGTATCAGCCCCTCTGTTTCTTTTACCACTAAGTTTCTGCCCTGCTCACCCACCATATGAAAGCAGAAACACAACTTCCTTAAAAAAGCAGCCACGCAATAATTACATGGTGAATCAACAGCAAAAAACGGCACCACTGTTACACCAAAGACTACAAGCCGCTACGTAGGTCCCAAGAAATCATCATCTGATTCACAAAGATGCTGCCGTTTTTTTTCCTTCTTAATTACTAAAGAACACAAGCACAACAAAGTGCTTCATGGTTTCCTCAGGTAGGTTACCAGTAGTTGCATAAAGGGTCTACACAATTTAACCCATCACAGTGAGATTTAGCTGGAATTTAACAGATATAAATACCAAATAAGAGCCTTACTGTTAACCCAAGAGATGCAAGTCTCCTTCCAGTTACAGGGGTCTGTGCACTCTTCTCACTGTGCATATTGGTCTCACCTGCAGAGGGATGCAAAAGAGGACAAAGGACAAGGGTGTGCATGAACCCCACAATGGAAATTTAACCCAACTTGATCAGGTTAATGGACACTTATCCAATAACAGGATGCCACCCGATTATTAGACTAGCCACTTCACAAGGCACTGACGGCTGTTTTCATACTGCAATAGGGCAGTTCAGTATTAGTCAGGTAGGCAATTCACCAGTTTGATAGACTATCAGGTGGCATCCAGTTATGAGAATCCAGCTTCTTGCCAAGTTCCACTCCCCCATCCAGAGTAGTGACAGCAGTGAATTAACTTCTGTTAATAAAAACCCCATACAGCTAAAGGATCTAATACTTCTTTGCAGCAAAGCCAGCCCAAAGTGCTGAAGGATAAAAAGCACATTTAGCTGTTTTGGTTTTTTTTAACCATCTTCCTCTCGAGACTACTTATATGTTATTGAACGTGAAACTTCTCCAACGAAATTACTTAAACTTTTCTTTAAAAAATTAAGTCTTTCAAAACAATGAAACAAATTTAAGGGAAACAGCAGACCGATCTGAAGCTCAGTAAACAGCTGCTTGCCTCGGCTTTCAACAAATGAGAGCAACTTCATTTAGAATGAGAGCAGATGACGACGGTAGAGACAGGGCTGTGGAGCCCGGCCCCGACTGCGGGAGACCCCCGCGTCAGGGAACGCTCCGCGGAGCTCCGCGCAGTGCTGCGCCTTTCGCTCCCGCCTCGTCCCGGCAACACGAGGCAAGCGGGCCCTGGTTTGCCACCCCTCTGCTTCACGCCCAAAGCAGATACACACGTAGATGCGCGTTCACTGCGGCATTCGGCAGCTGAGCGTTCTACCCGAGCCCGACTGTTCTCCCCTCAAGAAGAGGCGGCCCTCATCCGAGGGCTTGGGCAGGAGATGGTTCGTCACAGCGCCACAGGCGGCCCCTAAGCCCTTGGGACCTCAGTCCCGCAGCTCGTGCCCGCAGCCCGTCCCCGCGCCCGCCCC